ATTTGCTTCGGTTCACTGCTATCTTTTTCTACTATCTACAAACGCATTTTGCTTTCTGTTTATAATCGCATATGCACACACACAGACACACACACATGCACGCACACTTACATTTTATATATTTTAAATTGATTTTTTTTTTAATCTGACATTTCTTATTAATATAAAAGTTATTTTTAGTGGATACACGTTTTTGATTTGCTATCTTTATTTTAATTTTCTTAAACAGTGAAACAGCCAGCCTCGATCTAATAGTCCTACTAAAGAAAAATGTGCAAACCTGTGTGTGTGTGTGTGTGTGTGTGTGTGTGTGTGTGTGTGTGTGTGTGTGTGTGTGTGTGTGTGTTTTTTTTTTTTTTTTTTTTCGAATTCGCAACTTTTAAAGATATGAACCCCAGGTTCAAAAAAGAAGAAAAAGAAAAAAAGTGGTTCTCTTAGATAGGAACACACGAACAGGTATTGACGAACTCAAATACAAGATTAACATTTGTAAATAAATTTTCTATAACAAAATACCAAATAGGGGAAAGTTATGGAGTGACAGATGTACTATTAATAAAAGAACACTTAACTGAGATTGGATGTCAATTCAAGTGCTTATATTTCAGCTATTTGGAGTTCGAATGCTCGTAAAGATAAAGTTGTTGTAGAATGTTCACAAAACTTCTGCAATTTGAAATATGGAATTCAGGAATAATGTTTGTGGTCCGTTTCTATTGGTAACTTGGACTGCAACCGAGATGAAAAGACGATGATTTCTTTGTATTCCTCTAGTTATAATCTTCCTTTATCTTTTACGCATTAAATAGTCAAATAGACTCAATCTCTCCGGGACGAAATTTCCTTATTCCCTACACAACAAGTAATGGAATAGGTTTGTGGATGTATTTCTCATCCCCCACGATCGCATGATAAGAGTCTATTTTTCTCGCCAACTGTTGTCATTGGAGGCTACTGGGAAACTAAAGTTACACTACCAAAATCCCACTTGGTGCTGTATGTCCGGTGAGTGGAGTTAGTCAATTCTTATTCACTTTCTTAGGTTGCCATGTAACCCCAAATTCCTTTCTTAGGTCATTCTGGTTGCTGTCAAGCGAATCCAAATTCTTTTACTGACCTTTCTTCGTCGAAACAAGACTCAGTCCAGATAGGTAGTAACACAGAAAACAGAGAATGAGGAGAAGGAGAAAAACAAAGACAACGCGTCTCTTATTAAATTGATTATACGTCTGATTTAACAGCCGACATTGATGACTATGTCACCACACACACACACACACACACACACACACACACACATATATATATATATATATATATATATATATATATATATATATATTCGTGTCTGTATCATGTACAGCAGTATCCGAAACAAAAATGAAGATAATGAGACAAATTGAAAAAGTTTATAAACGATGCGTTTCACCGGCGTTATGTGTTGGATGCGGCTTCTTCTGCGCGAAATAAAAGAGAAAACTGTGATTAAGAAAAAATATGTTAGAACCTTTTAGGATAACAGGAACAAGAAATTATAGACAATTCAGAGTAATCAGTTTTTTTACTTAAGAGCCCTTAGGATCTGTAATCCCCAATTCCTCCCCGGAGAGGAGAAATAGAGCGAAAGTAGAGTAACAGAAGGAGACACCGTGTGTGTGTGTGTGTGTGTGTGTGTGTGTGAGAGAGAGAGAGAGAGAGAGAGAGAGATAGGGAGAATGTGTATATATATATATATATATATATATATACGTCATAGAAAGAAAGTTTGTGTGTTTGCGTGTGATAGAGGAAAGGGAGAAAGAGAGTAAGTGTGTGTGTGTGCATGTGTGATAGAGGGAATGTGTGTATATATGTCATATAAAGAAAGTCTGTATGTATGTGTGTGATAGAGGGAGAGAAATAGAGAGAGAGAGGGGAGAGTATGTGTGTGTACGTGATAGGGAGAATGTGTGTAAATACGTCAAAGAAAGAAAGTGTGTACGTATGTGTGTTATAGAGGGAGTGAGGGAGAGATAGAGAGGGAGTGTGCCCGCGCGCGCGTGCGTGTGTGTGTGTGTGTGTGTGTGTGTGTGTGTGTGTGATTATAAATATCAGTCATTATAATCATCTATGTCGCCATTATGTAAACCTGTCATAACTAGACATTTATTGTTTTGAGCATCCATTCTCCATTATTTTCAAGAAGCACCCGTGAAAAAACAATGATTAAAAACAAATAAACCCACCCTACTAGCAAAGTAAACACCAAACTTCATTTCTCTTATCATACGAGGTAAATATGAAAAATATCGTCTCACTTGATAGACAAACAAAATTGAAAACATTTTTAGCAAAAGTCATCGTCATATAAAAACTGACATACCTTTGATCTCTGTTTTATCTTGTCCCGTCTAAGGAGTCTGAAGATGCCCTCTTCGATATCAAAATTAAAAAAGGCAAAAACGAACCGGACTCAATTATCGAAAAGCTGTCTAAGTGTACTTCATTCGATCAAAGAGAAAAAGAAAACAGAAGAACTGAGAAGTAAAATCGTTATTAGTATTGTTTTTTAAGAGATTTGAAGAGATGGCTTTATAGTCAAGGTGTCTGACGAAAGGTCGTTAGCTTCAGTAATTATTCCACCAGATTATAAATATATTAGTTAACCTATTCTCACAACTACAAAATAGCACCTTTCAAAATATGTTGAACTAAGCTAGCGTTAATCTATCAGCCCAGCTACTTATTAAAGAGCCAATTTTAGTACCATACTTGATGAGATTGTGGAACCTGTAATGGTTAGCAGGCTTATCTCAACAAAACAATTACGACTGAGTAATGAGTTCGATCCTCACTTGGTGTTCTATATTTACGGAATTGTGCCTCTTTTTACCAAAGCTGATTAAATTACTATATATTGAGACAGAACAGTTACAACCGAGTAGTGGTTACGACCCTCATTAGCTACCCAATACTTTCGGCCTTGTGCAACAACTAAGCTACCCTTAGAAAATCACAACTTGGGAGTTTCAACGAGAAGTAATGATTAGCTAACTTGTCTCACTAGAACAATTACGACTAACTAGTGAGTTGGATCTTCACTGAGTGCCACATATATTCAGCTGTGTTCCACAACTAAGCGACGCTTAGAAAATCACCATACTTCATGTGATTTGCAAATAACATAGTCGAAGAGAGATTCCGTATATTTAACCCGAACAAATCTCTTTGAGTGACAGTAACGAAGAATGAAAAACGCAAAAGCAATGATATTCGTTCGATTCTTTGAAACTATCGAAAACTAACGAGCCACTGACTTCAGCATAAAGCTTTTGTTTTTTGTTTTTTCGAGGTGTTGGGGTCAGAAAAATTCTTTAGAATAATCCCTTTCTAGTTAATCCTGCTTAAAAGCCAGTGAACTACCAAATACCGATATTTGTCACCCCGACCTTTTGGAGGTTTTTTTTGTTGTTGTTTGTTATTTGTTTTTTTTTATCAATTCACCCCAAGCAAGGTGATAATATCACTTAGACGCAGGAGGCTACTGGAAGTGAAACAGAATGAAGAAACCGGAAACCCAATTCTAAATAAAAAAACAAGGGTTAAACAACTATTCCTGTTCAAATGACCGAGAAGGTGTGTGAAATGGGCGATGCCAGTCGGGTTGTGGCAAGACTTAACCTATACAGGTATTCGCGTCAGTCATTTACGGGTTTAGGTCAGTGATTCTCAACTTAAGTGCGCCACGAGATATTGTCACGACATACATATAGATGTGTGTGTATGTGTGTGTGTAATAGTAATGGTGCAGAGTTAGTATAACAAGGGCACTGAAGTCAGAGGATCCTACTTTGAAGAAGGTTAGTATTTTGTACTTCTTTGAAATTAATAAATGTTGCTCACGAAAAAGTCTCAGAACTTCTGGGACGCACTTCCTATGTGTCGTACTTAGTTAATATGGATATCCGTATTCGATCTCGGGCGAAAGTGATTTTTCAGATGGTTCCAGAATATATTTGACTCTGTAAGCATTTTAGTATGCTAACGATATCAAATTCCATTAGAAACTAAGAAAAGATTATGGAACTGAATGTAATTTCAATCATTGAATCAGTGAATGCTGGACAATTTCCCAACAGAAATAGAATAATGCTTTATCCAAAAGTAGTTTTGAAACATCAGCCGAAAATCATCTCAATTCCTTCAGATTCCTAGCATAAAGTCACCCTCGTATATTTTTGGAAGGTCATTATAAATTTGTTTACTATGATGTAATGTTTATACACTTTAGACCTAAGTGATCTGTACTCTCAAAGAATAAGACAATTTCCTCAACAAAGATAAAATATGATCCATTTGTTTTTAATTTCTTCTAATACCTAAGCTGAAATTCATATTTTTAGTACGTACAGCTCAGTTATTGCTCCTCCTGTTTTCACTGAGTCCAGGTACACACTGCTCGGCCCAGGAATAACAAGTTCAATCTTTGTGTTGGGAAGTGTATACTTGAACAGAGTGGAAATAATATATAGTCATAAATAAGACGATATATCCTTAGATATGGGCAGTGAAATGGGAACAATCTACCCACTGAGATTGAATAAAGTATTCAGTTTGGAATTCTCTATAGGCCAAACCCCTTATCGACATACACCTGATGAAGGTCGGAGGGCACAACGGCCAAAATATTGTGATAACACCAAAGTTATGAGAATAGTCCGCAGGTAATAAACTCTTCATCCCATAAATTGATTGATTCGTTTTATACGGCTCATCAACCCTTTGCATGTTATTTACAGACAGAAAATATTTTTTAGATATGATTCTTCTTTAGATATTAATCGTTTAGTGATACAAGTACTTACTAAGTAAGTCATGGCTGAGGTGGAGGAAATGATGTGGATTCATACCTTTTCCGAGGGTTTTTTTTGCGTGTAAGTGAATATAACGAACCCAACAGGATTGTCTTTCCTGTAAACAATTCCGAGCCATTATCCATTACACCACCCGCACATCCAAGGGACAACACCTGGTATTCCCTATTGGTCACCCATCTAGGTACTGACGAGGAACGACGTTGCTTAACTTCGGTGATCATAAGGGAAACCGGTGTTTCAACGTTATTTGGCCGGAAGCCGCCAGAAATTCCAAAAGAAAATGTGAGTTTTTCACAGATACTCAAAAACAAATTTCTTTTATATCTATATCTACGTTACTCACTCTTTAATCACGTGAGGTAGCACAAAAATTGTCGGCACAGAACAAAATGAATCAGAAAACTGGTTAAGGATTTTGGTATTGTTCCGAGTATAACAACTTATTAGCATACGTATCTCTAACCTTCACGCTCGACACTTTTCGTAGCTCCCTGGTGATATCCTGGTAGTTCCACAATTATTTCAGTTGAACCCCGTGATACGTTACTGCATGATCTGGCTGGTATTATTTTTCCTGTTTATGACAGGATGGTTTCATGTTTTACGATACCCTTCATTTTCTGTTGATATAATGTGTTTACATTGTCGAAGTCATGTCATTTGCAGTTCACAGTATATAATTATTCATAACCTGTGGTGTCTTTATTCCTATACTTTATTATTATTATTATTATTATTATTATATATTTATATACATACACATTTATATATATATATATATATATATATATATATATATATATATATATATATATATATATATATATATATATATATATATATATATATAGTTAAATCTAGAGGCAGACAAACCTACCAAGGTTTCACCTAAGGAGATCGTCAAGGAAGCCTTCCCTGACGATCCGCTTATGTGAAACCTTGGTAGGTTTTTCTGGCTTTCTAGGTTTAACTAGGTCTGCTCTACTCACTGTATTAAGCACATTATTTAGTTATTTTGCTTACTCGTATCGTTTTTTTTTTCTTTGGGCTTTGGACTTGCATGCTAGACGATTATTTTCGGCTGACGTACATGTTCATGGTTCTTTCTTTTTTATACCTTTTTTTCCCTTTGGTATTGGTTTGATTATTTGCAAATCAAGATACCGAAGGTTTTCCGAATGAGTATAGTTTCTTATTCTTATAAGATTTCTATTATTAATAATAATAATAATAATATATATATATATATATATATATATATATATATATATATACACGTGTCTCTGTGTGTTTCATTGAATAATATAGACATACTATATCTATTTTTATAACGATTCTTTACAGTTCCTTCCTCAATTTCTTGTTGTTAAGATGAAATTCATCAAGAAGCGCGCCTTAGTTTTTTACTACCCAAGTACTTTTGATCTCCTCCAAGATCATCCTCGGGGGTAAATTACAAAGACAAACGCATTGTCGACTTAATAATATCACTGGAATTTTTCGCTGAGGATCGTCTTGGAGGAAATCGAAAGTATTATGGCGTCTTTCTTGATGAATTTCATGTGAACATCAATAAACCGATTAAAGAACTGGAAAGCATCGTTATAAAAATAAATAGACATAATATCTATATTATTCAACTAAACCTGAAGATATGCTGCGTATATATATATATATATATATATATATCTCTATGGAGCACTGTTTTAAAAAATAAAAACAAAAATACTAAAGAACTCCGGATTATTTACGTAACGTGTTCTTTCCTATTTTTTTACATATCTTCACACACAGACACACACACATACAGATATATATATATATATATATATATATATATATACATACATACATATATATATATATATATATATATATATATATATATATATATATATATATATATTACTTCAAACGTTATGTTGGATTAAAAATATATCCATTAATTCTTTAGAAATATACCTACTGTCTTTATCTTCTTTTAATATCTATTTTGGTAAATGATATTGCGAATACAAAATGTCTAAGCGGAAACCAATATATTCCATGCTTGGCATTGTCAATGTCTTTGTGCAATAAAAGATGCATGAAGCTAATTGACTAAAGATAGATTTATCTTGTTCGCAATCCGCCTACAGGAAATCACCAAACGCTACAAACTGAAATCTTGTCTGTCCTCATCGAGAAACTGGTAGATATTTATTTTATGTAATGTTTAGTCAGTTATTTTTGTCTCTTTGAAGACTGGAATAACATTTTGTGACTCACAACTAATTTTATGCTTGATTCATTAGTTTATTCAAAGAACGTGGAGAAAATATTTTATTAATGCTTTTTATATTAGTAGAAACTAGAATATATAAAAAAAGAATAGATTAAAAAAACAGCAAGCTTATATAGGTTAAATAATAACATCGTACATGTAATTATAAGTTATTTATTAATAATTACAATTATTATCATCATCATCATTATTATTATTATTATTATTATTATTACTACTACTACTACTACTACCATTATTATACAAAATGATTAATGTAATTCTTCCACTGTCTTTCCACAGTTACAAAAAAGCGTAATTTAAAAAACGAAAACTTAATACTTATTATTTCGATACCATGTCTTCATTTTTCAAATTCCATACAGCTGTAAAAATAAAATAAATATAAGTCTTTGTAAAAACATGATTTGCTTTGAGAAAAACGATTGAACTCGTAATCAACGCGAAACAAACGTACACAACGTGAATGGAAGTTAACTAACACAAGAGTAACATGATAAGGTCCGTGCTCATTTTTCCTCAGTTAATTAGTTAGTAAGAGCAGTTAAACTGTTTTGTATAAATACAACACCCTCATGTCATTTTGTCCGTTCCCCCCGAATGGGGGGGACTCGTTAATAATCTGCATATGCGATTTTTTTTAGAGCGATTTAAGTACTGAAAGATCAGTGAATAGTATACTTTTTTCAGAATGTTTACAATAAGATGTTCGTCGAAGTTGAAGTCGTTCGTTATAAAATGTTTCGCAAATTCTGTTGATCTAGCATTGTTGTAGCAGACATCCTACCTGGAATTATTCAATCTCATTATTACTGTCATTAATTGCCGCAAGCAGATCTTATGCCGTAATTTAACAAGGTGTGTCATAATATAACTGTATCTCTTTATATATTAGTATTATAAAACTAAAAAAAAGTATTATTACAAGACTAAAAATATTCTTAAAAAACTAAAATATTATTAGTATTATAAAACCAAAACTTACTATAGAACTAAACATTTAGTATTATATAACTATAAATTATTATAAAAGTAAAAATTAATACCATTATTATAAAGCTAAAATTATTATTTTATAATAATAATAATATAATAATAATAATAATAACGACAACAATCCCATCTTGCGCTTAGATGTTTCAACCGGAAGAAGATATTCCTACAGTAGGTTGCCCTTTCTTTCTGCAGTAGTCTAGTTGCCAACCAAGGCTCTAGGACAAATGCTGGCAACCTTTTGGAGAGAGCGGGCTAGAAAACTATGCATTGCAAGGAGAAGGGTCGTCATCTCAGACCTCTGTATCCCGAAGGCTGCCTTGTAATGAAGGTTTAAAGAAAAAACAAAGAATTTTATGTTATATTATTTAAACGACGTTCCTTATGTTACTGCAGGAATAACAGGATAACAGCTAACACAATCAACAAAACATGCAAATTCCTTACTACAAACGAAATACAGGTGGAGACACTTGTTTTTGTTTATTTTTCGATAACTTCTCCGCATCAGGTGAAGTATTTGTCAATGACAGGAACAAAACATTACCCAGGTGGCTATCACCCAGCCTTGTTCTTAAACGACTCTTGGTATATTTCATTTTCAAAAAAATGTTTTTCATAAGCATATGTACTTCCAAATAATGATACCATCATTTTCGCATTATTCAACAGGCTTTTCTATTTTTTGTTTGGCAAAACATATATCTTGGATAAGTCAGCAGTGGATTCGGAAAAAAATTTTGATTTAAAAAATTCTTGACATTGTAAGTCAAGTAACTCCAACTGATAGATTCCTCTGTCACTTGATCAACAAATTAATTAGATAATTAGCAAGAATGTATTAAGCATGGGGGCGAGACAAAAATTATCCGCCGACTCCTGCTCTAAGACCTAGACTCTCCTGTTATTTAACCCATAAATAGGGAGAGGGAAGAAGAGATGAATTCATAACTTTCCCAAGGGTTATTTGCGCATGAGTGTGATGAACTCGACCGGAATTCGAACTCGGCTCTCCGATCTTCTCAATTCCGAGTCCATATTCATTACACCACAATGCACACCCCACATACCTCCCATAAAAATCCCCACACAATGGTAAGACTTTAGCTAAATGAAGATAGTATCGCTACTAATATCTTACCATTATGTGGGAGGTAACTCTGCCGCACGCTGTATTTTGCTTTCTTTTTGGTAGAATTGCCTGAACCCGAGAAAGGCATGAAAGTACTTAGGTACATTCTTTTTGCGCAAATTCTGGTGTTAAATGATACTCAACATGTTCTGTGTTTATATTCTATTTACATTGATAATATTCTGATGAGTAGTTCTACATCGTGCAGTTTTTTTTTTTTTTTCATCTCTTGCCAGTAGGGTCTGACAGGTATATTGCTAATATACTTGTCTGTAGCTCTTTGATAATAATCAAGGATTCATTTTCCTTCATCATTTACTCCTAAGCAAGGCTGGAATGCCAATAGTACGCAGACAGCTGGGGGGGGGGGGTAAAGAGAATGAACGTGAGAGAAAAGACCGAGTATGGAGAGGATTGAGGAAAGACGAAAATGGATGGGATTCAAGAAGATAGAAGATGGCGATTGACGTTGCATTTAAATTTTTGAAGATTGTTGTTATCAGGGAAGCAAGAAAATGGAAGGGAGTTGCACAGGTTGGAAGGTCGAGAAAATAAACTTTTGGAGTAGAAGTGGCAGTTGAATTTAACTATTTCAGCAGTAAAATTCCAATCTAGTAGCAAGCTTAAATTCATGTAGTCGGGGCAGCAGGGAGAAAAGATCGTCAGAGCAGTTGCTATGAAAATATTAAAAAAAAAAAAAAGTCAGAGGGAAGCCACGCCATGTCGGTGAGAAAGTGACTGAAGTCGAGATGTCAAGTCATTGGTCGATTACATTACACATCATTCTTTAGATTTGGTCAAGAACATCGAGATAAATAGCAGGAGGACCAGACCAGATTTGGCAG